TTTTTTCTAACATGATAATATAATAACAATGATGATAAGAGTATCTTGGCACTCAAGATGTTTTTGGCTATAATTAACAGGAAACCCAATTCAAATTGGCTTAAACATTTAAGAATATGGATCGGTTCACCTAACTGGAAGTCCAGAGGCAGGTTAGGCTTCAGAGTTGACTCAGCAAAAGGTCACTAATACTATGAGGGGCCCAGGTTCTTTCTGTGGGACATTCAACGCTAGCTTAATCATAAGGCTTTTATGATATTTATAGAAGCACCCCCCAGAGGGGGAAAAGGACCTCTCCTAGAAAGATAAGGTCAATCATTCCCAGAAGCCTCCAGCTATTCTTTCCTCTTATCTTGCTGGCCCAAAATGTGTCACATGGTCATTTCTGAACCAATCACAGGCAAGGAGGATGGGATTATCTTTAGGCCATTTAGGACTGTCCTGGAACTGAGTACGGGAGATGGGTGGATTCTTGAGTAAAACATTTCCTTTGGAAGAAAGAATTGATGCAGGGTGGGCAATGAATGAAGAACATCACATATAGTTGGGTTTTTTTTTTTTGGCCGCCCCGTGCAGCTTGTGGGATCTTAGATCCCCAAACAGGGATTGAACCTGGGCCCTCAGCAGTGAAAGTGTGGAGTCCTAACCACTGGACCACCAGGGATTTCCCACATAGTTTTCTACAGTACCTTTCACTCCAAGGTATTTTCTCCTGTGATCTGGTAACAAACTCTCTGAGAAGAGTTGCCAACCTACCAAGTGCCTCACCTACCAATCTCATCCATCCCCCATACCTTGTGGTTTGAAAAGACAAACAGCCTAGTGCTTGAAGTGTTCTTTAAATAATTCAAGAGCAATGTAAGTTTTAGCCATAAGGCATTTATTTTTCAGAAAACTGAGAACAATTTATTCTCATTCAGTATAACTTTTACAAGATAGTAAGCTGTAGAGTATCTCAATTGCCTAATACCATGTTAGGTCAAATACACCTTCTGAGCACCTCTAATAAATGCTCAAAACTCTGCTTGGCGTTCAGGAACAAACTCGTAGAGGAGGTCTTAAAGCTCAGCAGGCCCAGGAATAGATGTGCTAACAGAAAAATCGCTAAGAGCCTGGGAATTCATTAGCCGCTCTCGTGTTCAAGTCTGGGGAGCTGGTAATTCACCTCAAACATCATGGTAAACCTCAATCTAATTGAAAAGCTCTGACAAGCTGTAAGGAGGGACTCATTTTCTTTTTAGTAGTAATAGCAAAAATAGCTAACACGATTGAATGCTTATCAATGCTGGACACTATTTTAAGGACTTTATAAATTTAAAACTCAATCCTTCCAACAACCCTGCTGGATATGTGCTATTATTATCCCCATTTAACAGATGAGAAGTCCAAGGAGTGGGACTTCCCTGGTGGTGCAGTGGTTAAGAATCCACCTGCCAACAGAGAGGACACGGGTTTGAGCCCTGGTCCGGGAAGATCCCACATGCCGTGGAGCAACTAAGCCCGTGCACCACAACTACTGAGCCTGTGCTCTACAGCCCACGAGCCACAACTGAGCACCGTGTGCCACAGCTACTGAAGCCCGCGCGCCTACAGCCCATGCTCCACAACAAGAGAAGCCACTGTAATGAGAAGCCTGTGCACTGCAACGAATAGCCCCTGCTTGCCGCAACTAGAGAAAGCCCACATGTAGCAACAAAGACCCAACATGGCCAAAAATAAATAAATAAATAAATATATTAAAAAAAAGAAAAGTCCAAGGGGTTTAAACAACTTGTTCCAAGTTCCACCACTTACAAGCAACGCAGCTCAGATTCACCCTGTGCACTCTGACTCCAGAACCTCTTTTTTTCTACCATCACTACTGGTGGAGACTTCAAAGAAAGATGCAAACAGAGGCTACGGGAACTAATGCAAATTAGAATGTATTCATGCTCTTGATGCCAATGTCCTCAAGAATGTTTTAGAGGGTCATCTGCTATTGTACGAAACTGGACATTTTCATGATTTACATTCACTCACACCAAATCAGCCTCTTCTCAGGCATTTTTCCAAGTTAACATTTAAACATTATTGTTTACCAAGGAATTGAAACTCCTGCTTGTCCTCCACCCCCTTTCACTCTCCCACCATCTGATTTGATCAAAGCCCGCAGGAGATTTTGCACTTTAGAATTAGAGGCACCCAAAGGACAGAACTGAGACTCCAAGAGCTGTATGCTTGTTTTCATTCACTGTTGAATTCCCAACACCCAACAGGAAGCCTTGGCATTCAGTAGGCACTCAGTAAAGGTTTGTCAAATAAAGGCAGACAGGCAGTGAACAAAATACTGTCTAGGAAGCAGACCTAAAGCAAACAGAAAAAGCCTTTGCCTCTTCTTCCTATTTACTCTGAGTCAGAGTTTCAAAAGAAGTTTGGTCTAGAGTTGTTTTTTTGGTGGTGGCGGTGAATGTATATTAGCTGCAACCAGACCCACATACTCTCTTCAGGAGTCTAAGGATATGAAAGTAAGAATAGCCTCAGTGTTTTGGGTGGGACTGTGCAAGTTATTTCTGACTAAATTGTATGTGCATGCATGCCTTCCAGGCCAGCAGAGATTTTATGTCGATTGCACCGTATTTGAGTACATAGTTAGACACACTTTCATATAAACCATAAGTTTCTCTGCCTCCACGCTCTCACCTACACACTCCTCTGCAAGGAAAATAAGAAAAGTATCTGGTGGGGGATATTTCTGGAGCTAAACACTTTCTCCTGGCTCAGAGCAAACTGTAATAAACTCTAGTAATAACCAGCTCTGGGAAGGGCAGGAAATGACACATGTCCCCACCCCAGCAGCTTTTGTTCAAAAAACTGGGTGACTTCATGATATAATCATGTGTGCTGGGGAATGTACACACTGAACCAAAAGCTGCTCATCATGTTTTTTTCTTTTTTAAAGCAGGAACTATCAGACAAAGCTAAAATATTTCAGTAATTTTGTCTCAAGGCCAACTCATATTTAAAAGTTGATTGGAGGGACTTCCCTGGTGGCGCAGTGGTTAAGAATCCACCTGCCAATGCAGGGGATGGGGGTTCGAGCCCTGGTCCGGGAAGATCCCACATGCCGTGGAGCAACTAAGCCCGTGTGCCACAACTACTGAGCCTGTGCTCTAGAGCCTGTGCTCAGCAACGAGAAGCTACCGCAATGAGAAGCCCGCGCACTGCAACGAAGTATAGCCCCCGCTCGCCGCAACTAGAGAAAGCCCATGTGTAGCAACGAAGACCCAATGCAGCCAAAAATAATTTTTGAAAAGTTGATTATATATATATATATATATATATATATATATATTTCAAAATATCCCAAACATTAAGACCTAACAGCACTTTGTGGTATCCAATGGCTTCCTTCATAACAAGGTATGAATTTATATTTCTTGCCTGTCCCTACAGCCAAAGCCCTTGTTTCCTTACTCATGAACTACTAGAGCAGACTTCTTGTTGCTTACTTCCAGTTGCTCCCCATCCTCACACCATTCTACATAGAGCCACAATTTTCCACATCTGTTAACTACAACTCATCACTGCTTTAAACAGTCCTCCAATGATCTACCAAGACACTTTGACATCATCAAGCTCAGTGATTCCTAATCCAAGAATGGCTGCATGGCTACAATCAGAATCACCTGGGAGGTTTTTGTTTTAATATAGATTCCCGGGTCCTATCAGAAATCTGTGAAATCAAAATCTCCAGAGGTTAAAGTGAGAAAAATGAGAAAAAACAAAACAGCTCTCTACTTGTGATGCACGGGACCAGGGCTCGAACCCGTGTCCCCTGCACTGGCAGATGGATTTTTTTTTTTTTGGCAGGCGGACTCTCAACCACTGCGCCACCAGGGAAGCCCTCCCGTTCACTCTTAAAGAGTCGGCTCCACTGATCTGCCCGAGCTATGTTAATTCCTTCCTTTGAATCTTTGTAACACTCTGACTTTGAAGTATGTAATCTGTTGCTTTAAGATTGATCTCTAGTTGTTTTGTATATGCAAATTTAATCAAAGCTCCAGAGCAGGGATATTTTACAACCCTCTGAATACCTCACAGCTCTTAAAGCAAACAGTGCTTAGTGCACATAAGTGTCCATAAATACTTTGACTGTAATTCCACTGTCTATCCTAACAGAGGTTACATTAGAACATGGAATGCTCCTCTTCCATTACCCATTTTAATAGTGGACACACTGACAGTTACTGACCTACTCAATAAATGTTAAATCATGAGGACACAAAAATATATTCCCTTAATGTCCAAACTAAGTCCTCTCTACCAACGCTGATGCCCATTTAGAGTAGTGGAGATAAAAGCAACGACCTTCACATAAAAAATTATTCATTCTCTCACATTTAGTTTACATACTTGAAACAACTTTACTTAACCCTTGATCAGGTGGGCAAATGCACTACCACTTTCAACATGTTTTTCCCATCTGCCCACCAAAAAGGTAGGCTCTTCTTTAAAAATTTTGCCTTGTCCCTTCGCCTCTCCCCAGAGATGCTGGGGTATCAGTGGGGTCTCTCCGGCACCTGCCCTGGAAGCAGCAGTTCACACTCTGCAACCTAAGTCCTCCAATGGCATGGCCAAATACCAAGTGTCATCCACCTGCTGGCTCCAGGACAGTGGGCAGTGCTTTAGGGTCAGGAATCAGAGCCAGGTGATGCCTAGAGCGAGGACCCCAGCTCACTGTCACATGGGGGAGACTCTTCCACAGTTGGATGGCAGCACCTCCACCTCCCACCCACCCCTCGACCTAGGCAAGCACTGAGGTAATCTCTGGACAAAGGAGCATTCCCTGGCATGCTCACGAGCACTTGACACAGGTGTTCTATATATGGTGGGCACTCAAATTTTTTTGAATCAATATTTTCCAGAATATAAAATCTCAAGGTATTTTTTCTTAAAATGACCCTTGTGTAACGATTCCAGACATTTCTACCCATACATAGGTAAGTAAAGGAAAGGCCCAGTAAGTTGTTTAGAAGTTTTGTATTGTGTCATACAAACTGTCATCATATACAAGTGCATAAGTGAAAACCTTTTCTCTCCCCTCTCCTCCCCATACATTACAGTAGACCAATTCTTACTAATATATCACAAAGTTAAAACATGTATCTCTTTTGGAATTCTAAACAGTTAATTCTAGACACCAGCTTCCAAATTTTGTAACTTACCAATCTGGTATGGACATGAACAGTTCCAGTGCTTTTCAACTTGTCCCTGAATTTTTCTCTCCTCAAAGTTCCAGGCAGTAATTGATTTTAATGCCCTCAAATTAGATAAAGCTGACTATTTAGAGCTTATAAATTATTTACACTATACAATCACTAAGAATAGAGCTATGACTTACACATATTATACCCCTCAAACTATTTAGCACCATGAATAGAATTCTCAATACTAACTGATGGGCAAAGTAATCCAATGATCAAATATATGACAGTGATAGTCTTAAAAACACCCATTTGTTATTTTTCTTATATACATTACAAACTCCCTCCTGTCTTATAGATATAATTACACAGCTGTCAACTTCTTGCTTGATGCTAACAACAATTCCCTAAGTTATTAGTAATGAGAAGCTAAGGCATTAAACCTAACAGGCTCTAAGCTAGTTTAAATGTGGTGAAATACTGTTAAAATAGAATTGCACTGTACTTCTAACTTCACACTTCTCCAAAGTGCTATGGTTCCTGTAAGATTTTTGTCCTGCATAGGTTCAAATTCTGCATCTTTCAGTTTTGGATGGCTTGAGTACCATAAACCATGATTTATTTGGTAGCACAAACATTTCAGAGTTTCAAAAGGGATCACTACTCAGCTAAAAAAGTTACAACCGTCACTTTCCTTTAAACCTGGAACACATACCATTGATTGGAAGAAAACATACAACACCCCTGTCCTGACTGTAATAAAAACGGTAAACAGTGAATTGAGCTGTGTGCACTTTTTAAGAGGTGCTACACAAAGTCATGTTCTTAGAGTTTAAAGTGGTCACAAACACTGCTTCAGTGACATTTAATGTTCAACATATGCTACATTACTCTTAGCACTTTTTGTGCTTAATCTCCACACATAACAAGTTCAGGTATCAAAATAATCCTGATTCTAAATAAAAGAAAGACCTCACCACCAATATTTAAAGCTGATTTTCCCCAAGAAGACAGGATAGTTTCTCAACTATGCAGTCATCAAAGTGGTACTGTCTTAGGCTAAGCTTTGTCAAGGCTCAGGCAAAACCCTGAGGTGAACTTTAGCAAGGTCCTTGTAAAGAAATCTTCAATGAGAAACTCAACATATGGGAATTTTAAAGCTTCAGACTGGCTCATTACACAGAAATGCCACAGGCTTTCTTAGAACACTGAGTCCAGTGATTGTCTATGTCAAGGAGGCACATATACAATTTTACTAAATCCTGATGTCTTTTCTGTATGGAAAATGCAGTCAGTCTGACGAAGGGCCTAAAAAACATTCTGCCAGGCCTAGCTCTTCTAGAGAGCACAGGGAAGCTAAGGGAAAGCACTAGGAAGCAATTAATGTAAATGTATTTGTGTGTGCATCTCTGGGGAAAAAATAAACCTGTACAAGGCAATGGCTGTCCCAACCAAGGATTTAGATTAAACAACCGTTTAGTAACCCAGTAATGGTTCACAAAATGTTTACCTTTGAAGGTAAAGAAGGGCAAAACCCTGAAAGGAAGAGTAAAATAACCTTGTAGGAGAAAGCTTCATTACATTTTATATGTTTCTGTTTGCTCTCATCCATCCCAGTGCATTTGGGTCAAATGTGTACTTGTTAGAAAAGACAGGCTCCTCTGAGGAGCACTGTTCTGATCCTAACATTTTCTAGCCAAGCTCCTGCAAAAACATACAGCCTGATTTCCCCAATATCATCTCTCCATAATCTGCAACAGGAGTCAGTTCCACAGCTATTTGCTGAACTTTAGCACCAATCTCTTTAGAACTGATTTCCCCATGACTTTTGTTCTGTCTCCAGGAAGCACAGCATGAACAGAAAAGACTGAAGTCCTTACCTGGGACAGTCCCAGGAAATTGCAGTTGAAAGAGAATGCAGAATAGCGCATGGCAAAAAATTCCTCTTGTGAGCTTAGTCAAACACATATGGTATTCATATTCCCCGGGGTATAAAAAATTTACATTAATTAATATCAGCAACAGAACCCAAAACATTGGTAAATCGAATTCTAATGTGACAATTTAAAAGTAGACAGTGCTCCACTGGGTTAATAAAATCAGAATTAGCTAAGAAACAATATTTTAAATACCACATCATTGAAAACTCCTAGTGGGCATGTCCCCTTCATCAGTTATTTTTAAAATAACAGTCATAACAGGAGAAAGAACAAGCACCATGCTCACTAATGCAGGTTACTGGACTGCTCTGATTAAGCACTGCAGTTCACAGATAAACATTTCACATCTTCCCTTCAAGTTACTGAATCTTTCTTCTTCCGGAACGGTGATTTTAGCCTCTTCCATACACTGTTTTTGGGTTTAGATTTTTTCTCCATGGCCAGCACTGCCTCCTTTTCTTTCCTACGTATCTCCCGTACAAGGGCATGGAATACATCATCAATGTAGTAGCGGTATGCAGCAGATGTCTCAAAAAAGGGGCAGCTGAATTCTCGGGCCAAAGCCAATCCTTCTTCCTTGGTGACCTTTAAAAACGTAAACATGAGAAAATTTATAGTGGTAACAGCAGAAAATAATCACAACTGCCCCAAAAAGTGAAGGGGTTACCTTAACAGGAAGAGAGTGCCTCAACTCTGGAAAGGTCCAAGCAGAGCAGAGTGATAATGTTGGGAGGCTGGATTACATGACTTCTAATTCCTTCTGCTTTCAAATTATGTGATTCTATTTCTAGTCTATTTTAAAGGTAACTTTTTGGAACAGGGAATAGTTATAGATATCAAATATACAATCTTAATTTTCTTCATACTTTTCATTTCAAGAATATAAATCACAAGGCAAAGAGAGGTATATTAAACTACAATACTGAAAACCATAAGGAACCTGAAATCAATATATCCAATTATGGATATTCCATAATTTCTCCTACTTTTGGACATTTAGACTTAATTCTAATTTTTTGCTACCATAAATAGCCTGGCAATGAACATTTCATATATAAATCCCTGAACAGATTAATTCAAACAGGAATTAACTGAGAAGCATTATGAATTTAACTACTGTCAAACTACTTCTAAAAAGTCTGTACCATTCGTTGCTTTCACTGGTAGTGATAAATGTGCCCCTTTCACCACTCCTTCAACTCTATAGCAAACAGCAAAACTTTAAACATTGTTGCTAACTTGAAGGGTATCACTCATTCTAAAATCCTCTACAATTTCTCTTATTCTCCCTTTCCATGGCTCATAATCCTCACCATCAGGAAGTATACCTTGAAGACTAAGTTTCTCTTTTTGCAACATAAAGAGATTTACTTCTGAGGTTTTAGAAAATGAAAATCCATGATCCTTCACTTAATGTGTATTCTATTTGTCATCTGATTATTATCCTGTGGATTTTGTCCTGTAAACTGATTCCTAAAATCCAGATTTTACCCAAAATAAGAGCACATTAGTAGATATAGGGAAGTTTTCCAGGCTAGGGAGAAGTTAACTTAAAATTTTCTTTTTAAGGCAAAGAAATTTATAAACAGAGAAACACAAATGACTAGTCCCACAAGACTACACATAGAATTTTCTAATCTATCCTCACCTGTCTTAGCTGCTTTAGGTCAGACTTGTTTCCCACAAGAACCACAGGGGTATCATCAGTACGTCGAACTCGATAAATAAGCTGTTTAAACTCCCGAACTTCATGGAAACTTCGACGATCGGTGATAGAATAACAGATGATAAACCCTTCTCCTGCCCTCATATACTGATCCCGCATGGCTGTAAACTCTGCCTAGAGGGAAACAAGGATTATTAGTGTATTGGTGCAACCTGGAACTATATACACTTCAGCTATTTATTTCAGATTAAAGAGAGATGTTGGTTACCTGCTATCCTGAGTCAGAGTGCATGAAAAATTAAAAGAGATGAACTAATGATCTTCTCTGCATAAGTCTTCCCCTCCCCTTTACTAGCACAAAAAGGCCTTTACTCATAGCATTTTGGGATTTAATACCTGTCCAGCCGTATCCAAAATGTCCAGATTGGCAGGCTCATCATCAATACGGATCCGGATTTTATAAGCATCTTCTACAGAAGGGAAGAAAGGTGGTACTATTAACCCATAAATGCAAGAATATGTAACCTTATTTTGAAATTCATCTTATGGAGAAGTAGATTACACATTTAAGTGCCCAAATGTTCTCAGGAAGCTCCTAATTCCACTGAGATATGTAAATTGGGTCTTCAACTAATTTCTTTTTTCCCACATAAACCATGACATAAGTTTATTCATAGCTAAAGCTTATTAGACTTCACCTACAATTCTAAAAGAGTTGAGAGATTGTCTTTTGGAAAAATGTTAGGCCAGAAAAGTTACTTTACCATTTACTAAATAGTTATTAGACGCCAAGCATTATACTAAGTGATTTATATATGTTAGCTCATTCAACAGTAACAATAATTCAGTGAGGTAGGTATTATTACCTCCATTTTACAGGTAAAGAAAATTAAACTCTAAAACATTAAATGTGTTCCCATCTTACAAAGTTCATTAATGATATAGCCAGAATTGAATGCAAGGGCTGCTTGACTCAAAAGCTTTATGTATTTAACCATATGCTATAGTTCTCCTCATTTTTAACATTATAGGAAAAGCAAAAACCAGAGTTTACTATTTTCTAAAGAATCCATATTGTCATAATTTCTCCTTTATGAAAGCACATTTCTTTATGTATTCTTATGGTACCCTTGGAAAATACAGCAAAGTAAAAAAGAAGAGAAAAACCTCACTCAGTATTTCCTTCATTCAAACAACTGCTGCTTACATCCTTATGCATTTCCTTCAAACATTTTTTCTTGAACCCCTGCTTCTGACTCTTCCTCAAAAATGAAAAGCCTAAATCAATGATTCTCAAACTACAGGTCATGCGTGATCCGTTAGTATTTGCAAATTGTAGATGAATTTAATGGGTTGGGACCAGCATTAAAGTAAACAAGCAGAAATCTAAAATGAAAGAGGAAATACAAGAGTGCACCAAACTTAGTGAGGTAAATATAGTTTCATGATATTTTAATTACATATACATATGTGCAAACATATACTTATATGTGTACTGGTTACAATATAAAGTTTTTCTTCTTAGAGTTAGCAGCCAAAGTCTGAAACAAAATTGCACTAAACTGTAAACTCAATGACAGCAGACCCCATATCTTTTTGCTCACTACTGTACCCCCAGGGCCTAACACAGTGCTTGGCACATAACAGGAACTCAAGAGATGAAAGTATTTGTTGTTGAAATCAGATAATATTGTCAGAAGAGCAGCTGACTGGGGGAAAAAAAAAAATCAACTGATTAAAAAAAGTAACTTTTCAGGGGACAAGGATATGGGTTTTATTTTATTATTTTTTTAAATTTTATTAAAATTTTTTTTTTTTATTTTGGCAACCCCATGCAGCTTGTAGGATCTTAGTTTCCTGACCAGGGATTGAACCCAGGCCCCTGGCAGTGAGAGCACTGAGTCCTAACCACTGGACCACCAGGGAATTCCCAGGTTTTACTTTGAAGAAAGGAAAAGATATTTCTTTCTTTTTTTTTTTCTTTTGGCCGCACTGCATGGCATGTGGGATCTTAGTTCCCTGACCAGAGATTGAACCCGTGCCCCCTGCAGTGGAAGCACAGAGTCTTAACCACTGGCCACCAGGGAAGTCCCAGGAAAAGATATTTCTGGAGTTCTAAGTAAATTATCCTAGGCCCTAAATTAATTTTATTCCTAGAATTCCCACCATAGTGTGAATTCCTGAACAATGTTCTAAATTTAATATAGTACATGAAAAAATAAGAACTGTTTCTATTTTCCCCAAGCCACAGAAGCATCTACTATATAAAATGACCACATCCAAAGATGGGTTAGCACAGAACACTCATTGGCTCTGTGGAAAAAAGAGCAGCAGAGGACTGACCCAATGGAAATCCTTCCTAGAGACCCAGGATCACGACAAAGTGTCACATCCTGAAAATATAAGTAATATGGCAGGTATTCTGTGCCCTCCTCTATCCCCATCACCATTTTTCTTTTATCCTGGGATATAACTCCTAAAAATCAAACCTGCCTCCTTATGGTTCAGGAATGATAGTAACGTTCTTATTCTTAGTGTTTACATAGAACAGTTTTTAAAAAAAGGCAAAACAAAATTACTTTTTACTAACACTGTTTTACTAACAATAGAGCATTAAGGATTATAAAAGACACGAAGAAAGACCTTGCTATGTAATGAACTTGAGGTATAAGGAAGTAAATGAAAGGCTTCTAGTGGAACAAGTCCAGGCTCTGCCTGTCTGGGTTGGAAGAGTTCAGCAGGCTGGCTCTACTTGTTTTTCTGCTTCCTTCTGTGGAAGTTCAAACCAGCTGACTCATAGTTACAGAGTCAGTCTCAAGTCAGACCCTTAGAAAAACTAATAGCAAAAGGCTTCGTTAAGTGGCCTTTAAATTTTTCCCTTAACCTGGCAATACAATATACCAACCATAAAAATATAACAAAGAAAGTGTCCCACTAATGCTCAATAAAAGACAGACTAAGATGGCTGATATACATATACAGTTAAGCTAGGGGAAAAAAAATCTATTTGCTTACCAACTGCTATGATATTCTTATTAAATAAATCTGAATTAGACACCAAAAAAGGCTCAAAATATAAATGGTTTAAAATTGTTTGAAAAAATTGACACCAAGACACTTTTATGGGGTTTATTTGGAAAACCGAAGTGATAATCTGACTTACCAATGGTGGGATCATGATCTTCTGGAAACCGGTGGCTGATGAACTGCATGGTCATGGCTTTAAAACAAGAAAGGAAAGTTAAAATCCACACAAAGGTCACCCACAGAAAGAACTTTAAGTATCAATATTGCATGATAGCCAGTCTCCCAGTTGGTTTGGGTGGAGGGCATTTGTTGTAAGAATTTTTCATTCTAACTTCTTTTAAGATGGAAGACAAACATCACCTACCGCTTTCCCCTACACCACCAGCACCCAGCATCACTAGTTTGTATTCCCGTGACAGCCCTGCAGGGCTGCTACAGCTACCAACTGGGCGAATTCCAGAATCCATTGTCCTCTTGGAGAATCCTGGGCTGCCCCGAGGAAAAGGCACCTGGAAATAAAGAAGAAAATATTTAAACCAGGATTTAGACACCGTGACGACAGTCCTAGAGCCAGTGCCCTACCTTCCCATACTCTGACCTATTACTCCTGCTCCCTTTCTGGCGGCCCTAAGAAACCCTACATCCTCACCTTCCCTCCGGGACAGCTCACGCCTATGAAACATCACAGGTTTTCCGAATTATTACACTTTCCAGAAAGAATAAAGAGACAAAGAAATTTTGAATTTCTTTTCAAACTGGAGCACCGGCACAGCATGAAGGAGCCCAGTGAGAAAGATGAGGTTTGGGGACCAAAGGAACACCGCCCCTTAGGCCGCAGGGGTCCTCTCACACCAGCGGTACCCGGAGGTTCCGCCCCCTCCCCATTCCCCTCGACAGCTCCCCTCCCCCAGCTGCATCTCCGGCCCGCCATCAGGCCCCCCACCCTTCCCTTTCACGAGCCAACCCACTCCTGCTGCTCGTACCCGTCGGGACTTGAAGGCATCGGCCGGATTTGGTCACTCACCTCGCCCTCCTCACTCGCGGCTAGGATCGGCACTGACCTGTGACCCCTCCCGCAGCCGGGAAAGATGGCGCCACCAGCGCCCGCGGCTCGGGGGGGGGGGGGGAGGGGCGGAGCTGCCCCGTGACGCCCGCAACTGGCCCCGCCCCCCCCCGGGGAGGGCCATCTCCCCGGCAGGTCCTCAAAACCCCGTTCCGCGACTCACCGCTAAGGGCCTTGAGAGAGTAGCATATTGAGGACGTGCCCACAAACAAAGGCGTTAAAACAATTATTAACACAAAAGTCAAATAAGTATGTGATAAGCGACACACAAGGGGCCTCTAGAAATAACAACTTACCCAGTACTGTTGAAGATTAAAAAAAAAATTTTGGCCAAATGAATGTGGAAACAGGAAACGGGAACCCACCAAATCCTCCCAAAAAACAGGACCAAGATCAAGTTTAAGGCTTAACAGCAGAAAAAGCAAATTTCCCCAAAGGGACAAGGACAATGACTTGGGCTCTTAAAAACAGAATCAGGTCTCAAAGATAATGTTCTAGTTAGACTAATCAGATTTCTGCACATATTTTAAACAAATGTAAACGAAAGATATTTAAAAATTAGGGTTTTTTTGGATTTGTTTTTAACAAATGTATTGATACTACCCTCCGGCAGGAAATGATAATTCAAGAGTTTTCAGGGGTCCTTAAATTAAATACAGCGATAAATGAAGGCACTATCAACTATATTCACCTCTAGGTAGCACACATAAATACTAAAAGGAACTTCACACGGGGAAATTTTTCTGTTACAATTTCTGCCCACCCTTCTTCCTTTTTAAGCATGTTTTCCCAAGAATAACTTGTATTTCCTTTAAAAATATTTCCTTCACTCAGTCCCTTTACAAACCATGTTCAATAAAGGGGGGGCTAGAATATCAAAGTGGAAAACGTCCATCACAAAAATCCTTTACATTTTCATTTTGACTTTCAAGGGTTTACTTTGGAAAGTCATAAAACTCTTGGAACTACATGCAAACTTTTGGGTCCACGTATGTATTTTTCTGATGGGGTTATGATATCATGCTATGAGTAAAAAAGTTTATGAATTTTAGCGTATGGATGGGTTATAGAAGAAAGAACAGAGAAACCACAAGCAGAATATTTATACATTTATTTATAATGAAATTATGGTCTAAATATTTACAACATATAGGAAACCAGAGGATACGTTTATACAAAGCCAGCCTGCAAAGTATTCAAATGTGCAAAAATGACAGTTCGGTATCTCAAACTACTCCTGGCTCAGCAGAC